CAAATAAAACGGTTTCGCAGACCAAACGGATGTCATATCTTTCTTAGTTTATTTGATCGAGCCTCACCCTCAAGTCTTGTGTTTATCCCTCGGGGTAGATACAGGATTTGAGGTTGAGTGCTATTTCATTTAAACTATGGAAAATATGAGGTCAGTTTGATTTCATATTTTTCTAAAATTATATATATATATATACGTAAATTAAAAAGTCCTTCCGAAGCGGGCGACGGGATTTCGATTCCGGCGACCGACAGCTTATTACGGGCGACCCCCAAACATAAAAAAAAAAACTCTCTTTTCCCCCTTTTAAGCGCCGACACACCACCGTCTTATAAAATTTTCCTTCCAGTCTAAGCGGTACTATTCTATCACACAAAAGGCCCGAAGCATTCCTCCACTTCAACCAACCAACTTGAATTCTACTATTAACATCCTCTATATCACCATCGCTTTGAACAACAGACCCAAGATATCTAAATCGTTCATACCTTTTAATAATTTGATCACCCAAAGTCACACTTCTGTCACTAGAGCTACTAATACTAAAATACATTCCATGTATTCAGCTTTAGTTCTACTTAAATGAAGGTCTTTAGACTCCAATGTAGACCTCCATAATTTAAATTTTTCTTGGGCTTTTTCTCTCTTTTTATCCACAAGAAAGATATCATCAGCAAAAGCGTACACCAAGGTACATCAAGGTACATATATCCAGTAAGACCATCCATAACTAAAGCAAAAAGATATGGGCTTAAAGCCGATTCCTGATGTAATCCAACATAAATAGGAAAATATTTATTCAATCTTCTTTCAGTTTGAACACAAGTAACAGCTCTAGTATACATATATTTAATGACTTGAATATAATTCATATCAACACCTTTCTTCTCAAGAACTCTCCAAAGGATATCTCTTGGAACCTTATTGTAAGTTTGTCTAAATCAATAAAAATCAAATGTAGAGTCTCCTTATTATCTCTGAACTTCTCCATATCTCTGAACTTCTCCATCAAACCTCTCAATAAATATACAACTTCCACAGTAGATATGCCCAACATAAATCCAAATTGATTATGAGAAATCTTTGTAATGTGTCTTAACCTATGTTCAATTACCCTCTCCCATAACTTTAAAGTATAACACATCAACTTAATTTCTCTATAAGCTGCACACTCTTGTGCATCCCCTTTATTCTTAAAAATGGGGACCAAAGCACTCTTCCACCACTCCTCAGGCATCTTTTCAGTTTTTAAAATAATATTAAGGAGTTTAGTAAACCAAGAAACTCCCAAATCTCCTAAATATTTCCACACTTCAATTGGGATATCATCAGGTCCTACAGACTTTTCACCCTTTATTTCTTTAAAGTACTCAACTTCTTTTTTATTAATGCAACGGTAAAAATGAAACATTTTATTTGTATTCACGATATTAAGATCACTAAGGTCGATCGTATTTTCAATAACTTCATCAAAAATTTTATCAAAATAAATCACCCACCTATGTTAAATATCTTTTTCTAAGAAAAGTACTTTTTGATTTTCATCTTTTAAATTTTTATTTTTGTTTTCTCTTTGTTTGGCTAGTTTATACATATATTTTTCACTCTCCTTAGTATCTAATCTATTATAAAAAATCATTAAAGCATAATTTTTTGCGATGCACATTATTTTTTTAGACTCTCTGCGCTTCGTTTGATATTTTTCCCAGTTCTCTAAACTTTTACATTTAAATCAATTTTTATAACATAACTTCTTATATTTTATCTTTTCTTGCACATTATTATTTCACCACCAACTATTTTTATTTATAAAAACATTTTCTTTTGATTTTCCAAGCATATCTTTTGCTACTTGTTTAATAGTATTTGTCACTTTATCCCACGTAACATTTGTTTCTTAATGAACATCCCAAACTTTAAAATCATGAATTTTACTCATAAAAATAATTTTATTTGTGTTTTTTAGGTTCTTTCATCTAATTCTACGATGATGAGTCCTGATATTCTTTGTTTTACAACTCTTCATCTTAAAATCTATAATTAATGAACGATGTTGGGTACTTAAATTTTCACTTAGAATGACATTACAATCTTTACAATTTCGATGATCTCTTCTTCTCATAAGAAAATAATCAATTTGTGTTTTATTAGATCCACTCTTATAAGTAATAAGGTGTTCATCTCTTTTCTTGAATAAAGTATTAGTAATAACAAAATTGTAAGCTAAAGCAAATTCTAAAATAACTCTACTTTCTTTAGTCGCTCCGAAACCTTAGCCACCATGAATATTTCTGAAATCTTCTACCACTCTGCTGACATGTCCATTTAATTCTCCTCCAATAAAAATTATTTCTTCAAAAGATATCATTTGCATGAAGTCTTCTAAGTCATTCAAAAATTTATCTTTATACCCTATATCTAAACCTATTTCAGGAGCATAAGCACTTATAATATTAAAAATCTTAGTATCAATGATAATTTTAAGGGCTATAATTCTATCTCAAACTCTATCAATTTTTACAACATTATCTTTCAAACTCTTATCTATATATACACCTACACCATTTCTAGTGTGATTCTTACCAGAATACCAATGTTTAAAACCTAAATTATCAATCTGCTTAGCCTTTTCTCCAACCCATTTAGTTTCTTGAATACATAAGATATTAATTTTCCTTTGAATCATAATATCAATAAATTCCATTAATTTACCATTGAGAGTACCTATGTTCCAAGATCCTATTCTAATATTAGTTTCATTAGTTTCATATGCATGTAAATGTCCCTAACAATTTTCAATAGAAAGATATTTTTAAAACATATGTGCGGTGGAAAGATATAATTCCACTACTAAGACGAGCTAAAGGAGCGGCATTCTTAAATGCCCACAACAGTGTCTAGTATGACTTTGAAGTCTGAGAGCTTCATGGCATGATATTGCAATGTTTTTGACATAAGCAGGATTCCACCATGCGTGAAAGATGTTGCAGTGCAAGTACGTGGCAGATTTTTCATTCTATGCGCCATCACTTTCCGATGTTACATGCTGGAGTTAAAGTTCAAGTAGATAGTAAATGATTGTGTCAAATCAAACCAAATGACAATAATATTCGTATTTTAGAGTCATGGTTTGGGTCAACTCAGGTATCAAAACATTTAAACCTTAGACAAATAGATACAACCTCTGATGCCAAAACTAATCAAACCTGAGGTAACATAAAATTTGAGGTAACAAAAGCAAATTTCATTAAGCAAATGATTAGGATTACAAACATGACTCAAAACAGAAATAAAATTGCAACAAACACTAATCTCTGACTAGGGTCGAAAGAGAAGATCTGAGGGCAGCCGTGGTGGCGTGAAGGGGGTGGAGAGTCGTAGTGGGAGGGGGACGTGGAGGATATGGTTGGAAGGTGGGGTTTAAGGTGGCCGGTGGTTAGGAGGGGAAAAGGGGGGAAAAGGTGGAGGACAGCTGCACAAGGAGAGGGGGAAACAGCAAGGTTGAGGGTTGCAAGTGGGCGGCAAGGTTGCAGAGGGAAGTGGTGGGCTGGCGACAGGAGGTTCGGTTGTAGCAGGTGTAGGCTGGCGGCTACAACAAGCTGTCAAGGAGTTAGCATATTAATTTTCCTGTTATGCATGTAAACGTCCCTAAAAATTTTCAATAGAAAAATATTTTTAGAACGTGTGTGCGGTGGAAAGATATAATTCCGCTACTAAGACGAGCAAAAGGAGCGGTATTCATAAATGCCCACAACAGTGTCTAGTATGACACCAAAGTCTGAGAGCTTCATGGCATGATATTGCAACGTTTTTGACATTAGCAGGATTCCACCTTGCGGGAAAGATGCTGCAGTGCAAGTACGTGGCAGATTTTTCATTCTATGCGCCATCACTTTCCGATGTTACATGCTAGAGTTGAAGTTCGAGTAGACAGTAAATGACTGTCAAATCAAACCAAATGATATTGGCCCACCCTGAATAAATATACAATCATGAATCAAAACATATTCAAATCGCGTTTGATATGATCAACTAGCTTAACTCAAATAGATTTTAGGGCATTTGCATACGTACCACACAATTCTAATGTCTTTACATATCTAACACCAAAATTTTATTTTTAACATTATACCACTCAAATCTTTTATATCGCATCAAAAATATCATTATTTTAATTATTAAAAAATGAAATACATCTTTTCATGCATATATATATATATATATATAATACTATATAGATATATGTTGGCATGCATAAGTAAAAACTAAAGTTTAGGTGTTAGATAAGTAATTACATAGGAGATGATTTGTACGTACATAAATCTTCCAAGAATTTAATATGATGAGTTTTTAACAAAGTGTCTTGCAAATTTCTTGGAAGCTATATGAAAACTGCTGAATATTATAAAGTACATGGCCAATAGTCGTGCTAAAATGCATATAACAGATAAAGAATCAGTAGTACTTATAAGCATAAAAGCTGAGGCAGAACCTTGCGCAAAAGTCCATCCTCTAGCTTTTGTCTCTTGGCGGCTTGAAACCCATTGTCGGAAGGATCTTCAGAATTCTTCACCCTTTCCGCAATAAGTGGCTTTCGTGATCTAACATTGAAGATTAAAATGACAGAAGAAAAAGAATCTATCTATCTATCTATATATATATATATATATATATGAAAAACAAATGTATAGTAATTGATCAAAACTCGATTTGATTGTGTTAAGATTTATATTTAATGCCGAGTATTATTGTAAAAAGGAGAAGTATAAAAATTTATTTATAAATACTGTTAAGCTCTATAAAAATTAAGTCTTTAATGAAATGGGCAAATTTTTAGAGCAATTATTTCTATTTGGTATAAGAGAATCGCGCTGCACTCCGTTGTTGTTCGGGGAAAAATATTGCCTCAGGATTCCGCAAGCAGAGTTACATGTGGAGTCCAATGAGAGGAATCCAACTGAAATATGGGTCACACTATGTAAAAAAATTCAAAAAACACTCATTTAACGTGACCCGGCTCGAATCATTGGCCCCGTCGCGAAGAAATTTAAGAGATGCATTTTGTCGCGGAAATCGGCCCGAATCTAGCTTTGCCGAAACACCGATACAAAAAAAACGCCTTTTATGGTAGATTTGGTCACTTTATTTTTGTTTTTAGGGGGTTTTTTAGCGTTCTTCTTCTTCGTCGGTTCAACTTCGACTCTCTGGGCCCTTTGACTTCTTCAGCGCCTATGCTTCGGTTTCTTTACACTTCGGAGAGCTCATTACATCTGGACTCCGCACGCAAAGTTGCGAGCAAAGTCCAATCCACGTTCGCCGTGAAATTTCAGGCCCCATCAAAAACACGAGGTAAAATAAATGAATTAGAGCACGTGATCCGACCCGAAGGAAACTCGATTCCAGCCCAAGAAGCGAAAAAAGTGAATTTATTTCCGAAGCCAATGCCGCCAAAAGTCTTTTGTCGCATTTTTATGTTGTCGCCGGTCCAGAAAAGCAGATTTTGTCTTTTTAGGTTTTCTTTGAGCTTGGTTCCGAGCTGGTGCGATCGATTTCTCTGGAGAAGAAGAAATATTGGTCATGGAATCAGGAAATAATATCAACCAGCTTCAATAAGAAGTAAGTTTACTTTTATTTTAGTTTTATTTGAGTTTTGCATTGTTGTGTTATGTTGGTTTTAGCTGATTTTGTTACGTGTTTTAGTTTATAGTTAGTGTGGTGTTATTTTGGTGTGATGGTGGTGTTTAGGTTTATTATTTTGGTTTAGGGTTTAGGATTTAGTATAGTGTTAAGGTTGTTTTTTTGGGTGAATTCTAGTGTTATTTTTCTATGTTGTTAGCGTTATTAGGATGTTATTGTAGTGTTATAGTTTAGGGTTTAGGGATTGTATTTTCCTAGTGGTTTTATTGTTGTATTACTGTTGTGTTATTGTCGTCTTATTGAGGTGTTATGTGATGTTATTGTTTGGTCTTTCTAGTGTTATTGTGATTTTATTGTTATGATTTAGGGTTTAGGGATTGTATTATTCTAGTGGTGTTATCGTTGTATTATTGTTGTATTATTGTCGTGTTATTGTTGTGTTAATGAGGTGTTATTGTGTGTTATTGTTCAGTATTTTAAGTGTTATTGTGGTGTTATTGTTATGGTTTAGGATTTAGGTATTGTATTGTTCTAGTGGTGTTATGGTTTAGAAATTTTATTTTTTAGTAGTGTTATTGTTGCATTAATGTTGTATTATTGTCATGTTATTGTCGTACTTTTGAGGTGTTATGGTAATGTTATTTTTAATTTTGTAGTGTTACTGTGTTGTTATTGTTATGATTTAGGGTTTAGGGATTGTATTGTTCTAATGGTGTTATTATTGTATTATTGTTGTATTATTGACGTGTTATTATTGTGTTATTGTGGTGTTGTGGTTATGTTATTATTGTGTTATTGTGGTGTTATTGTTGTCTTTGTATGATTTTCTTGTCATTACGGTGCTATTAGTGTTTTCATGTTGGTATTATTGTGGTTTTAGTGAGGTTTGACTGTTGTATTCCTGTGTTGTTAGTGTAGTTTTCCATGGTGTTATTGTGGTGTTTGTCTTATATCTATCTGACCATCGTTAAATTGGTGTGATAATGTGCAGTGTGGAAATATGTGCAATGATCCAATAGCAGAGACATTTCTTCGCACAGCTATCCACAATGAACAAGAAGCATATGAAAGCTACTGTGTGTATGCACATCATGTGGGATTTTCTGTTTAGCATAAATGGCACGGTATCAAGAACATCATGTGATGTTCGTTCGATTTGATCAGGGTCTTCTGGTAGTGTCTCGTCCCCTATTACAACATTGTCTTGTGCATCTTCTATTTGATCTTATGATAGTTTTAATAATTTTTTTTTCTTTTGTAAATAAAAAATGCACAATCCAATGTTATAACAGGAAACAAGGCACTACTAGAAAACCCCAATCAAGTCGAACGAACAGCACATGATGCTCTTGATCTTGTGTCATTTACGGTAAACAGCTCATTTTATATTGTTCTCTGTTATTAACCTGATAATATGTTTAAAAACTTTTGTTCTTTTGTAGACTCGTCTTGCTGTATCTGTTGTAGATATCGATGACCGAAAGGTCAACAATCAGAAATAAATTTAGAATTGTCATTGCTTCAAAACCTTCAAACAATAATGGTGTCAGGTGTACTATCATTTGAGTCAGAGACAACTCCGAGTCAAGCCGAGGGAAACCTACGAGATACTCGTGAACAGATTGCGATGACACCCGCTGGTTTAGGTACCTCTATAGTCATCCTGGAACTGCAAAGCAACCCGATAGTCATCACTAGCCAGAGCACCAGCTCTCATATAGAGAGTCATGTGATAGTGGTACAAAAAAATTAGCTCTTTATATTGGAACACATCTTTAATTTTTTAGTTAGAGTTTATAATTATTGTTTTATTTTGTAGTCTCGTCCTGCGGCATCTTACATTGAATATCTTGGTAGATCATCAGTACTACGTGAGATGCAGGATGTAATCGATGACTGCATTGCCACATACACGGGGGTGTAAGTAACTGTTGACAACAGTTTTGATGTTATGTAGTTTGATATTCAAATGTGACAATATTTCTTTCTTGACGATGCAGACATGATTTTCTTGCAAACAAAGGTTTTGGGAAGGCAATTGACCGAGCCGGCCCGGAGAATGTATTGCTAAACGGGTGGCTTGGAAACGAACATGTCGATGTTGTTACTGACATATTGCATAAAAGAATTATCAGGTCACCTAAATTATACAGATCGTACATCTATGTAACGTGACAATATTGGGTAATCACAATAATTTAATTTATCCATATATATTTGACTCGTATCTTCATTGTAGACAATTCAAATTAACCTTTTATGCATATGCATAGAAAATTGGATAGTGCAGCTTCCGTGAAACACATCAAAAAGGAAAGTATTAAGGAAGCTCAAATCATATTATTTCATATAATTCATAATGTCCATTGGACTTTGTTTGTGGGAGAGCTAAAAAAAGAGAAGTTTAAATGATTCCCACAACATCTGCTCGGTTGTTTCATTTCCTTGTGATTTATTAATGAGTTGATATGCAATCTTGTGAGCGTGTGAGCGAAATAGTAGGTCATTTGCAGAACCGGTGCTCGTTTGGGATTCCTTCATATTTTCGTAACCAAAGTTGTTATGCATGTTCCTTTTTAGCCTGAGCAGACCATCGCATTAACAAATATTTTCGGCAATTAGTTTTATTTGAGCCACATTAAGCACATAAATAGAGTTAGAACATAATATCCTCATCATTTCACCATTAAGCACATAAATAGAGTGAGAACATAATATCCTCATCATTTCATACATTTTGCAACTGCAAGTGACCTCAAAATTGACTTTGTCAAGTTTCACAATCAAATGTTAGTTTGTCTCTTTATTATCCAAATTTATTACATAATATTTTGAGCCACTCTCTGGAAAGCATTCTATAAGTCCACATAGCTCATCCACTTCCTCTTGCTAAAACATTAACAAAGTTTTCTCGAATAAAATGTGACAGCTTGCTTCAAAATTGGGTTGTCTTTTACCACGAGCGTAATGACCGATTGATTACTTTTGAAATCTTCGTCATTCTCATTCCGATGTTATGATTTTATTATATTTTTAAGATCAAATAAAAAATCAGCGAGAGAGTTAGTAAGCTTTGAAATGCCGTGACAAATATTATTTGTTGACTCACTTTTTGTGTTGATACTATTCTCATGCTAAATATTTCTTTATTGAAGACTGACGACCATTTATGCTTGATCTTTGTACATATCATTTAACCACATGTTGTGCAAGTTTCTTTTCTCAATCATTATGGGCCAAATTTCTTCAAAATCACACTTGGTCATGCATTTGTAAAAGAGATCGCCTATACTCTTGACACCCAAAGCACAATACACTTTTGAAGAAAATTTCTTGTATATATGTCATTGGCATAATCTGTGTCGTGTCTGTGGAAGATAATCTTTAATGGCTCACGTCATCGATTGATCCTGATCCATGAAAATTGTCGTTGGATGCTTGTAACTCATTATTCGGATAAATGTTTTAAATAACCAAATGAAGAAATCAATGATCTCATCAGACAAAAAACTCACTCCAAAGAGAATGTTTCGCCAATGGTGGTTCACCCCTACGAAATGAGCGCAACATAATTATACCTATTTAATCTAAAGTTTGTACAAAAAATTACAACCCCAAAACAATCATAATTAAGTTTGGACAACCCGTCGCTCGAAAAAAAACTTGTGAGTCTTCCACACTCATTGATTTCAAAATCTCTATCAAACATAGTATCCTCAGCTTGCCTCTCCATGAACAACTGTATTAGAGAATTGACATCTTCTTGTTCTATTATTTCTCTTCTCTCTCTTTGAATAAAATTGTATGCATCTCTTTCGTGCATTCTATGTTCTCCACCCCCCAACCTCTGTAGCGATAAAGTTATATGCATCTGTTGCTCTGACCTCTGATCCTGTCATTGATCTCAGCAAATCTGCATTTAACTAACTTATCTTTCTGTTGGAACGCAGAATATGTTCATCACCGCTTTCGACAAAATGGTGGTTATGTCTTTCAATGAATTTCTTCATTGTGCAATTTCCTTCAGTATCGATGACATATCTACTCCACTTATCGTGTCAGCTTTTTTGATCTTAACAGTATTTATCAGATTTGACTCCTTTTTGTGGTCAGCCTTTCTGCAAATAAAATCTTTGATTTTAATCTTTTTAAAGTTTGGCCAATAGCTGTTATGGTTCTTCCTAATAAAAAATCTTACATGATATGCATAGGCACAGTAGCTTTCATTTGCTTCTTGTTCATTGTGAACAGTTGTGCGAAGAAACGTCTCTGCGATTGGATCAATGTACATATTTCCACGCTGCACATGACCACACCAATTTAACGATAGTCAGATAAATATAAGGCAAACACCACAAAAACACCATGGAACTAAAACCACAACACTAACAACACAGAAGCACAACAGTCAAACCAAACTAAAACCACAATAACACCAACATGAAAACACTAATAGCACCACAATTACAAGAAAATCATTCCAAGACAACAATAACATCGTAATAACACAACAATAACATAACCATAATACCACAATAACACAATAATAATATGTCAATAATACATCAAAAATATAATAATATTACAATAATAATATAACAATAACATCACTAGAACAATATAATCCCTAAACCCTAAACCGTAACAATAACAACACAATAACACTGTAAAAACTAAACAATAACATCATCATAACATCTCAATAGTACGACAATAACACGACACTAATACAATAATAACACAACAATAACACCATTAAAACAATACAATTACTAAACCATAACACCCCTAGAACAATACAATCTCTAAACCCTAAACCATAACAATAACATAACAATAAAACCCTAAACCATAACAATAACACCACAATAACACTTTAAAAACTAAACAATAACAACATCATAACACCTCAATAACACGACAATAATACAAAATAATACAACAATAACACCACTAGAACAATACAATCCCTAAACCATAAATCATAACAATAACACCACATTAACACTAAAAAAACTAAACAATAATATCACATAACACATCAATAAGGCGACAATAACACGACAATAAAACAACAATAATATCACTAGGACAATACAATCCCTAAACACTAAACTATAACACTACAATAACATCCTAATAACGCCAACAACATAGAAAAATAGCACTATAATTCACCCAACAAAAACAGCTCTAACACCACCAACGAGTGGCAGGTGATATAACTGAGGATCTATCTACCTAGTAAAAGAGGTGGCTACCAGGCAAGTCTGATAGTAGCGAAGAATAAGAGAGAGACGGTAGTGGTCTTTACCGATGAGGATCGCGAGTTGCTAGAGATATTGAAGAGGAAACAGTGAATGGCAGGTGATATAACTGAGGATGTATCTACCTCATTTTCATCCAAGGGAAACACCGCTACTTATGCTCACTCAGTCAAAAACACTCATTATACACATGCTCTTGCCTCTATATCTATCACAAGGTCAGCAGGATGGATCGTAAATCCCGGTGCGTTTCAACATGCGATATGTGTTGTTAGTGAGTTCTCTTCGTATACTCACCTAGCAGTTCAAGAGAGCATTTAGACCTCTGATGGTACTACGTAGCATGTGATTGGTAATGGTGAAATAAGGTGTACTAATTTTATGACTATATTCGATTTTTTGCATGCTCCTTCATTTTCAATAAATCTTTTATTCATTAATGTCATTATACTTCAACTAAAATGTGTGTTTTATTTGATATTTCTATGGTGATCTTTCAAGAGAAGGAGAGTGACCAGAGACTTGAGACTGACACATGGCATAATGGACTCTGGTACTTAGAGAGAGGATGGACTCAACCTTGACATCGATGGTAGAGAGTGCTTGAGTAGGAGGATATGAGAGGAATGTGGAGGATGTGTTGTTACGTCATAAGCACATGAAACACATTCTTTAGTTAATTTATTGAGTTGTTTGTATCCATCTTTAAATGAAAAGACAAACAAATAAAAGCTTGTGTGTGATGTTGGCGAGTTTGGTAAGCATACCAGGAGTTCTTATATTAGTTCTAGTAAGAAGAGTTTGGTAAGCATACCAGGAGACAGCATGTAGGAACAGTGCCCGCCGTGTTGCTCGTGTCATTAAATCCCTTGTCCCGATCCACCACGACTCCTGAGACACCTGCACCATCCACCTTAGGATTAAATAGCACAGGTGATATGATTTCTCTTCCTTCTCATCCCACTCCCATGACTTTAAAGAAGACCTCTTGATCGTTATTCTCCTAAATTTTTTGGTTTCTCACATAACATGTTCAGTTTGTCTCATACTCTAACATATCACCTGCATAAGCATTCATTGTATCTTTAGACATTGTCTCTATACCCATGTTGACAGGTAGTTAAAGAGAATCCATAGTGGAAGGTTGTCATGTTGGAGGAAATTAGCACACTTGAGAAAAACAAGACGTGGGAGTCGTGTTACTACCAATAGGGAAAGGGCCAGTCGAGTGCAAACGGATATTTACCGTGAAGCATATCTCAACAGGAAAAATTGATCACTACAAAGCACGGTTGGTGGCGAAAAAGTAGTCAGATGCATGATATCGACTATGATGAAACATTTGCACCATTAGTGAAGATGAGCACAATCAGGACACTCATCTCTCTGGCTGTAAATGATGGATAGAGGTCACACCAGCTGGATATGAAGAATGTATTTCTTCATGGAGATAGTTGAGGACATGTACATAGAAATACTTCCAGGCTTCGACACAAACCAAACAAAGAGCAAGGTCTGTAGACTGAGGAAGTCATTGTACGGGTTAAAACAGTCTCCTCGAGCTTGGTTTGACAAGTTTAGGAGAATAATGGTAGGCATGAACTATCAGCAAATCACTGTCAACCACACGGTATTCTTTTGAAGACAATGGTGGTCACATTACTATGCTTGTCGTGTAAGGTGGATGATATGATATTCAGTAGTGATTGAGGGAGGAATTATGCAGCTGAAAACAAAATTGAACAGAATTTGAGATAGACCTGTGACAACTTAGACACTTCCTTGGGTTGAGGTGGCTTGTTCGGCAGAGAGGATTATTCTATCTCAGAGGAAGTATGTGGTAGAATTGCTCACAGTGACATGCATGTTGGGATGCAAGCCTGCAGTTTCACCAATTGATCAGAAGGGAAATTTGAGTGCAGAGGCAAAAGGGCCAGTTGGTCGCGAGAGATATCAGATGTTGAGAAGTCGTCTCATCTATCTGAGTCACACTCGTGTCGACATATCATTTGTAGTAAGCGTAGCGAGTCGCTACAAGCATGATCAGAGGAACGACCACATGGATGCAGTGTATCATATTTTGAGATACATGAAGAGTGCATCAGTGAAGGGGTTGATCTTCAGGAATAATGGTTATGTAAGCATTGAGGGCTATTGTGACTTTGAATGGGCGAGTTGTACTGATGACAGGAGGTCTACATCCGAATACTACATATTCGTACAGGGCAACTTGGTAACTTGGAAGAGCAAAAAATAATAAATAGTAGCAAGGCCAACCGCAGAAACAAAGTATAGGTTCATGGCCTTAGAAGTTGCCGAGATGATGTGGTTGGGAGCCTTGTTGATAGAGCTCAAGGTGGATCAAAGAGCTCAAATGAAGTTATGGTGCGACAATAAGTCAGTGATCAACATCGCCAACAACACAGTGCAACATGATAGAACTAAACATGTGGAGATTGATAGATTCTTCTTCAGAGAAAAGTTGAATAATGAACTATTAGAGCTGTCATGTAGCCACTGGAGAGCAAGTGGCTCACTGCCTCACCAAAGGACTTAGCTCATTAGTTTGTCTAGGTTATGTGACAAGATGGGCTTAGTAGATATCTTTTACCCATCTTAAGGGGGAATGTTGAGATTTATATCTAATATAGAGTACTATTTATAAATAGGAGAAGTCTAGAGATCTATTTGTAAATGTTGTAAGGCTTTATAAAAGCCTAAGTCATTAATGAAATGGACAAGTTTTTAGAGCAATTATTTATATTACTACATAACTAACAAAAAAGGCAAAGTTGGATAAAAAATGTACAACGATAAATATGTTGAATTCATGATTCATGAATGAAAGAACATCAATTTTTAAGTAAATGTGATTATATAAATTAAACTACACTCAAAGTGTAGACTTAACCTATGTGCTGACTGATGAGCATGTCTCACTAGGCAGTGGTTATTTTGCTTGGCAAGATGACTAGCTGTAGGTTTCATCAATGTTGAGACTTGTGCAGATGAACCAAATACAAATCTCTTCTCATTTTGATAAGGATCATGAAGCACAAAATTTTCAACCGTCAATACTGAAAGAAGAAGAAACATGTAAGCACAATAAGCATTAAAAAAAAATCAGATGTACAAACTATGTCAAGTAATATTTACATATACGCAAATTTTGAGAAGGTATAGAGAGAATAAACGAATATGTATGGGGAGCTGACATGTAATAACCAAATTTTGAAAAGTATAATCTCCCAATTCCTACAATTCAAGAGATAGAAAATCTCTCCCAAAATCTAAACTTAAGACTCACATTATAATCTCTGCATAAACCTAACCCTAGAAATAACAATTATATTTATACCCAACAATAATAATAATTAAAAACACTAAATTACACTTACACATATAAAAGATAAATTTACCCTTATGCTAGGCACCATCCTAACACCTCCCTAAGTAAATTTCCTAAAAATTTCTAATGTAAGTTGATGTGCGTTTTGTAACAAGGAGTGGGATTTCGACATTTCCACTTATCTCTGCATGCTGACTAATTGATGTGTTGGACGGCTGTGATTGAATTAAGAAAATATTAATATATATATATATAGGTATATAAATTACTAAGCCAATCGTTTCATTTCCCGGTTCCACGTATTCCTCTTTCCCGTAACTTTCCATCCCGTGCGTGTCGGGGAAGTGGAACAGTGGCTGGAATGAGGCAGCTGGGAGGAAATGAACAAAAATAGGTGAAGGAAGAAAGAAGAAGAGGACGAAGAGGAGAAGATAAAGAAGAAAAGAAGATGAGGAGGGAAGAGATGATTGGAAGGTAAGAAATTGGGTTTTGATTTTAAATTTGGGTTTTTTGATATTTGATATCTTTCTAAAATATTGGTTTCTAATCGAGATTAAGTTCTTAAGCTAATATGAAGAGTAAAATTGAAATTATTTATAAAAGAAAAAAGTTTCAGGAAGTCCTTCTCGACTGGGTAAATCGTCAAGTGCGTAAGATTTATAAATTCTAACATAATAAAAAAAAGAATTTTTCAATTTTTTTGTACATATATTTATATGTATAGTAGAGTAATATTTGACATGCACGGTATAAATTTCCATATTGTGAAATGCATATTTACAATCTCATATTTATGAATAAGCAATCACATAAAAATTTGATTGATACAAGCTTTATTATTATTATTATTATTATTATTATTATTATTATTATTATTATTATTATTATTATTATTATTATTATTATATTTTTTTGTTAATTAGTAGTACTTCAAAAATAAAGCATCTGACACCTACAAGCTATCCATGTGCATTTACAGATATTTAAAATAAACATGAATCATATATTTAATCATTAATCCTATGTACATTAAAATGAATTAATTATGAAAATATTCGAATGGTAAGAAATGTCATGTTATGGGAAACAGGTTGGTAATGATAAGTTTAGGTTACCAACGCAGGTAAGAGCAAAAGGATCCATAATGGAATAGAAGGGTCTTCTATAGAGGCAAAAAGCCCTCAACACAGTTCAACAGCGACAATGTTGGATTTCACTCTGATTATATTGAACTTGATGATTTAACCTTCAGATTGGATTATGATGACCAATAACCGTACCGAATATGAAATATTCTAAAGCAAATATGAAATTAAAAAAAATACAGGAAATCATGTATTTAAATTCTAGTGAAATTATCATGTTATTTCTTGATGTAAACATTTTATTACAAAATTTATGAATTAACTATTACACAAATGTACTGATCATAAGTGCTCAATTCTATGATTTGTTTTATCATGTTGTTTAATTTATTTTAATATTTGAATTTCATATTAGATTTATTTATCTTGTTAAGTCAAGTAATTCATCAAATGATTATTATTTTTTAAAAGAAAAAGGAGAAAGGAAAGGTTGAGATTAAGTAGGATCAAATTTATTTTTTTATCATGTTTTTTTATGTATAAATATAGTAAGATAAAGAACTTTTAAGGCAAGCAAGTACACATAAATTTTATGTTTTATGTTTTTTTTTTTTTTGGTTAAGAATTTTATGGGTTAATCTATAAATTTATTTTTAATGATATATTTTAGATAGTTTTCCACTTAAATTGAAATATTTAAGCATATTGGAAATGAGTGGATTGGAAAAATAAGCAATTGACTGTATCATCTACTTATTCAGTTGAATTTCTATAAAAATGGATATTACAATTGTATACTCATCTTCAAACGACTGGTGGTGGTTTGTTGTGGGGGTGGCATGAAAAAAGCCAAATGCAGCTAATCATGAACAACAGGAATATCATTGCATCAAATAAAAGAGCAACAGTGAGAAATAGAAATAGAAATATTATTTCACCAACTTTTTTTCTACGCTCGAACTTGCAAACCAGCAAGTAACACTGCAATCAGTGAACTGCCAATTAAACACCAAATGCAATTCAAAGCCATAAGACAACCAAGAAGTAGAAATATTTTTCCATCAGTCATTAGAGTGCACCATCAAAATAGGAAAAAAAAGTTAAAGAGGATGTTTTAAGATTTATGATTTCTAATTCAAAGCTAGTATGCAATCAGGCTCCTCATAACTAACGAAAGCTTTTAACACTTCAAGATAATTTTTTGATGGGGCGTTTACATGCATAACATGCAATTCTTATATATTTATGTATCTTCATTGCTAATTTTTTAAAAGTAAAAAACATATTTTCATGCATATTTACAACACTACAAGTGTTACAAATGCAAATATCAAAAACAATAAGAATTGTGTGGGATGTATGTAAATTTCCCATTTTAGATTAGATGAAATCAATATAAGAAAACATAAAATTTTGTGATAAAGCAAGCTATTAGGTCACATGCAGTTATTTAGCTCTAAACAATTAATGCGAGCTATATCCTTTGGCAATATATTTGTCTGGCAAGCAACCTGTTGACATTGGAAGGGTAAGGTTATATCAAATACAACGGGGGAAAAAAATCCTTGCGGCTCTATTTTTCCTGTGTACTACGAGGCCTTCGAAGGCAGAAAATTTTTTAATTATTGGTGGCGTTCTAAGATTTTTGTTTTACAGGTATGACTTCTGTGAGCTACAAACCGGTATTTGGAAGATCAAAGAGAGCCTTCTTTTTAAAAATAGAAACCCTTTCTAAATAAAATTATAGTTAGGTGTGTTAATCCATGAGTAAGGGCTCCTATACCGGCGTCCGGGTGTAATGTCAAACAAGTAAAGGCTCCCACATTATGGACAGATGCAGGTAAAGAAGTTAGTCCATAAAACTAAAATTATGATAGAATTTTGTAATATAGGTACTTTCACAGATAAATTAGTTGATACTATAATTCATAGAAAGATAAATATTTATTCAAAAAACTAAATGGGTAAAAGACTAAGCAAATTAATAACCTACGTTTTAAACTTTGGCGTGCAGGTAAGAGTTGCACTAGAAATTGTGTAGGTGTAATTATGGATAAAAGTTTGAAAGATAATGTTGTAAAAATTAATAGAATTGGAGATAGAAATATAGCCCTTAAGATTATTGTTGATACTAAGATATTTAATATTATAAGTCTTTATGCTCCTCAAGTAGGTTTAGATATAGGTTCTAAAGAAAAATTCTGGAATGACCTACGAGACTTAATACGAATGATACCCCTTGAAGAAACAATTTTTATTGGAAGATATCTAAATGGACATGTTGGTAGTATGGTAGAAGATTTTAGAAATTCATGGTGGTTACGGTTTTGGAGTGATTGATGAAGAAGGCTCAGTCACATGTAAATATATTAGATTTTACTTTAGCGTATGATTTTGTTATGCTAATACTTTATTCAAGAAAAGAGATGAGTATATTATTATTTATAAGAATGGATCTAATAAAGCACAAATTGATTATTTTCTTATGAAAAGAAGAGATCGTCGAGAAAGTAAAAATTGTAAGGTCATTCTAAGTGGGGATTTAAATACTCAACATTGATTATTAGTTTTAGATCTTAAGATGAAGAGCTACAAAATAAAGAATACTAGCAATTTTAGACTGAAAGAAAAATTTTATAAGATGGTGGTGAGACCTACAATGCCCTATGGCACTGAATGTTGGCCTTTAAATGAGAAACATAAAACTAAGTTAAGTGTTGTCGAGATGAGAATGCTTAGGTGTATGAGTGGCTTTACACTTTGAGATAAAATGTGAAATGAATATATTCGTGATAGGGTTGGTGTAGCTCCAATAGCAGACCAAATTAGAGAGAATCTTCTTAGATGGTTTGGTCATATTAAACGTCGACCATATGATGATCCGATTAGGAGAAAAGATGTTTAGATTTAACTTATGTTAAGATTAAACGTCGACCATATGATGATTCGATTAGGAGAAAAGATGTTTTAGATGTAACTTATGTTAAGAAGGCAGAGGTAGACCTAGAAAGACTTGGGCATATTGTATAAAAAATAATCTTAATTTATTAGAATTAAATGAAAATATGACACTCGATAGGAAGCAATGGAGAAAAAAGATTCATGTAGCCGACTCAAATTAGTGGGATAAAGGTTTGTTGTTATTGTTTGTGTTAATCCATCAACAACTCAGACTCAACTACTTGGTCAAGTGGGATACCAAAATTTTTTTAAGAGAAGCACTCTTATAAAAAGATTATATAAACTTAATCTTATCATTGATTTTCCTGTGTAATTGAAGCTATTCATATTGGATATAATTGGGACAACTTTGAATGTTGGATTTTAAATTAATAAGGTTTTTAAGAACTAAATTTCAATGTATTTTTATTAGTAAAAAACAACTAAATTATCTTTTGCATTAATTTTGCTTCATGTTTCACATTTCATCACAAGTATCGAAGACTTTTTAAAATTAAACACTGCAACCTATCAAATTTCATGTCTATAACATTGTTTTATAAAACTATACGTTAGAAACTCTTTGCTCTAAGATTGATTACATTAGATTTAGCATCAAAGCTTAGATTTGTATCATAATGTCAACTAGAAATAGAAAATAACAATTGGATTCAATAAATTAATAATGAAGTGATGCAACTTTAAAACATTTTAATTATAATTCTAACCGATTCCAACATGACTATGAGATTAAAGATTATATTTCTAAATTTAAAAAAAAAAAAGGAATAAGATTTAAATATGCTCAAATGAGCTATGATATGTTTAATTTCTATAATAATAAATTTGCTAAAACAGTAAAACAAAATTTGAATATGTTCTATAGTTTTGCCAATGTTTTGTTCAAAATAACCATGGACTACCAAACATAAATAAATTTTAAAAAGAATATTTGTAATTCCCTTATTATATTGACCAACAAAATAATAAATTTAGAAACACGCAAAATGACTATAATTAGTTTGAATAATTTAATAGATTTAAAGTTTTTTGCAACATGTTATCATTATTCATTTCAGCGAAGGCCTCAAGCAAGACATTAATTATAAATTAAGCAAACATTCAACAAAAACAATAAATGCGATTTATACAAAATTTATGCGGCCTCTAAAAATCCCAAACAGATCTATCATATTTGAGTGATTTCAGATAAATTTTAAAGAAGAAAAATTAAATACTCGATAAGAAATTAGCTAGAATTTCACCCTCTCTGAGCATGTTATGATCTGATTCAATATCGCCCATAAGCACAAGTTTATATTTTAACCCTCTCAATTGCAAAAGAGAACTTTCGATCAAGGTGTAACAATAAGCTGTACAAGCTTTACTTTAGTAACAATAATTTGAATTAAGGTAAGAAAAATACATCATTATTGTCTTATAATGGATGATAGAAAAATAATAACACATGATTAAGATTATATTGCTCCTTCATCCAAGGTTGTCATTTACCCGTAGTTTATTTAGTTGACAAAGGCAGTGAACTCAACCAAATCAGACATTCAAGTCAACAGATTGCATTGTCCAAGAAGATCTCCTTGCCCAAGAGTGAAAGCCTGTAGAGCTAATCTCAACGAACACAAGGTTTCATGCACAATCAAGTGTACTTATAGCTTACAACTTCTAGAATTAATCATTGGGGAATATCTGGTTTGGTATCGTAACTAGAATGTAATGCTATCATCACAATCAAGCTAGAAACCCAAACGAAAGACATGTGCATATCCTAGCTAGCACAAGATAAGTGTGATCATATGAATATACTTGATATGATATTGGCAATTTATCAACTTTGATCAAACCTAAATTTTTCACATTTGGCAAATTGATGTGGGGAATACATGTAAGGTTACTTTAAGGAAACTTGATTTTTGGTTTTCTGTGTTTTTTTTAATATTTTTAATATTTTTTTAAGCGGCTCAGATTTCAAAACTTGTTTAGATTTTATATGATCCTAAATTCTATTTACTAATTTCAAGTACAAAGCCTTATTGCCATGTTTGATTTCTTTCACTTTTCAATTTTCTTAACTACTAATAATTATTGTAGACTAAAAATAGATAACTTACATTTTCTGTTGCTGATTGTGTTATTTTACATGTAGCTACTTAGATATGATTTAAAATTTCCAAACCTTAAAAATTCCTATATCAACTTATCAATACTTTGAAATTAATAAATAAAATAGATTCTTTCCTTTTCCCTAGGAAACTAGAAGATTTATATGAACTTGGTTGATGACTTGATAACATTCAAGCTGTCTCATTAGTTGAAAGGAACAAGCCCTTTTATAATAGATCATATGAGTTTCCATAAACAAGTTTTATGATAGAAAAATTCACCAATCATAGATGAACTTGTAAGATATCATGTATAAGGCTCTAAGCAAGAAGAAGCGTAAGAAAATGTAGGAGCGATGCTTTTTAGCTTGACCACTTAATCTAGCACTTCTTGCCTCACTTTAATTCTATTTAACAAGTGAATTTTTTTCTAAAGTTCTCATTGAGGAAAATATTCACATAAAACATATCTCTTGGAGAAAAAGGGTCATATAAATCACCATATGGATAAAATATAAAAGCTTCTAATAAACATCAAAGTCCAATTAAAAATATTTATAATGCAGCTAAAGGTGGATATTATCAATGTACCTTTGGAGATTTCATCTAAGTCATAGAGAACTTGATCACCTGCTCCATTCGGATGAAAACCAGACATTTGTGTGTCTTTAAACTTGGGAATAATATTGACAGTTTCTGCAAAGACATCCTTTTCCAAGAACAATTTTGATATAAAAGCTGGAAAAAATGAAGAAAATCTTCATTTATGCATGAAACAAAGCTACTTCAGATTTTATTATCATAGAATAGTTGCATAGTAACATAAAATAGTAAAGGAAAATGTTAAATAGATAAAAGGTTGTTGGTAAGTGAAGTAGAACATAATCCAACTTGTTTATTACTAGCACTATTACTTAGATGTAACATAATAAGCTAGCTTATATAAAGTTTAACAAGTTTTAAGCCTGTCCTGTTGCACGGTTAAATATTTATTCCATCAGTAAGTTATGATTTTGTTTGTTTTTGAAGTTGCAAAGCAAACCATTATTTTGCTCAGCGTTGAAATCAGATTTATGAGAACACTTATCGATGACTGCTAGTCACACAATCGTAAAACTCCATAAAAAAGGATTGTATCAACCAAGTAAAGATCCTACAAATATAAGGTTTTTGGAGGTGTGATAAAGATATAATCATACCTTCTGTATTTTAGAAAGGTTACTTTCGTGCTTTAAACCCTGTGACTGCAAGGTTAGTTTGGATGCAAATATCCATGGTTTCAGACCCACCCTCAAAAGCCCAATACACCTAATTAAAATGAAGGGTCCTGAATTCTTAATTGTCATCAAAACAAATCGTATTTCCTGTAATTATTGTAAATAAACTTAAAATTCTAGAAACAACAAAATCTAATTGTCCAGGTCCAACAACTTGTAATTAGGAATGGGGCATAGCAAATGATGTGATGTGACCTAGGATTATTCTACTATGATGTTAGATTATAAGATAAATTTTTATATTAAAATATGGAAAATAAAATGAAAATAAACAGTACTTTTTGAAGAAGCTTGTTAAGATGGATAACTAAAACAAAAGCAAAACACACGTCGGGCATATGCATACTACCCTTAGAATTTGTCTGCCACCCTTATATCATCCTAACCAAATGACCCCACTTTTCACATATGCACTTAGTAGCTTCGTTGGTTAGTTGACATTCAAACCCAAGCAAGATGCAACTCTAACCTTACGACTGATTGATCTCATAACATCAATTTGTAAATCATATCATCTCAACTAAGGTATCTTCATTCCCCCATCAACCCTAGAGCTTAGGTTCCTCTATCAGTTGTTTAGGATCCTCAATAAGTTTTAGAAGGTACCATGATGAATTACTAAGTCCAGTATGGGCATATTTGATAGTGGAGTATAATTAATCTTATCTATCAATCTAAGACTAAAGTTAAACTCAACGATCTACAACATACACTTAGATAAGGTAACCCATAATTGATAATAAGGAACCTCAAAGTTGTCACATAACTAAGCAGATTAAGGCATTGAAGACCTCGAATGATAGAATAATTGGATCTTAATGTCATCTTATTCAAAAAGTACTCACATTTTATTTATCCAAACATGTCCTTTGTAACCACTATAGTTATGAAGCTTTTGATGACTACACTTTTGTAGATACGGTTGGATGGAAGATTGAACATCTTGATTTGTATAATCAAACTATAGTCTTATGGGTGTCCTCTACATGGCATGGAGGAGGTAATCCTCATGCCTTATTAACCTTAGAGTCTAGAACACATGTTGGTCATAAAGCACAAGCTCAGCTATAGAGTTCAGAAGCTTTTTTAGCCATAGAGTTTAAAACTAGTTTTCCTCTGACCAATGGGACTCCCTAAAAAAGATCCTCAAATTGTCATATAACCAAGTGAACTACGGCTTTGATGACTTTGAATGATGAAAATTTGGATCTTGACGAAAATCATCCTTCTATCCATAAGTTATGGCCTTTATATAGTGTCGTTATGCCCATCTTACGTGATACCTTCAAATAACCCATGAATTACTAAAAAGAATCATTTAATCATATTGGGTCAACTATCTTCTTAATTAAGTAAACATGAACTATGACAACGTCAGTTCAAAGATCTTAATCAAGTTCATCTTCCCTCAATCCATCTACTCCTATATCTGTGCAATTGCTACCATATGGCATTGTAAGCCCAATAATCCAAGCATCTTACTCTAATCATTGTGTAGCTGTAAATTCCTCTTGGACGTCCATTCCAATGCTTTTGGGTCTTTCCTCTTTGTCTCTTAATATACGCTCTATCTTCATCCTTTGAAGATATTTGAAATAATTTTCACAGAGCCTCTGTATATCTTGATTATAACCAAATCCAAGCTACAAAAATCATAATAATCATTTAAATCTAAATATTACCTCCTCAATCAAGAATACTCTTAAATATGCTCGGGATATAATTAACATTAAGAACTACCTATTTTCTAAAACCTCAACCACACAATTTAAAATTAGCCATGTTTGGATACACATTTCTTGCAAGAAAAATTTTCAGATATAATTTGCCATTTATGACTGCAATCCTATAGAGCTCCTTGACTAGCTGTGATCAATCGTCCATTGTGAAATCCTTGGACACTTTCAAAACCTACAATAAATTTGGTTGAAAACACCTTCAATCCCCATTGATTGACTCCCTAACACAAAGTATGGTGATTCAACTAGGATCAAGTAGTTCATTTGATTTGTGGCTCTCATAAGTCTTAGGCATCATCCACAAAGTTTTTGAATAAGCAACTCCCATAACTCCTCCATATAAATGAGCGACTCTTGATGTATGATATTTGATGAGCCTTCATTTGAGAGAATGTGATAACTAGTATAGAGGTAAAGATTACTAAGACATGTTATCAGATGGTTGAAAAAACAAAATACTAATGCAAAAAATAGCAAGATATTGACCCTCATTCATAAGCTTACATTTTTAATTCCAAGTAAGTTTAGCTATTGATGTATTTGACCTAACTTTAGCCCGAATATCAAAAAATGTCATGAGGGGTTCAGTTTTGTTAGAATTACACATAGCCATATCCTACATTTGTCTTGGAATCTCCCAAAGACGAAACCTAAGTTCGACGACCAAATCAAGCAGCTAAGTAACCACAGAAATCCAAACCAAACCATGAAGCAAATATTAAAACATACTGAAAAAAATAATTGAAAAACTACAATATCACAACTTGTAAACGACACTAGCGAGCATTAAAGGGATGATAATGCTTAAATGAACAAAAGCTCAATCGTACGAGAAGGGGGGTAACTCCCAGCTGTCTCGAACCAGGACTCCGCCACCCACGCCTCCGAGGGGGTCTCTTCCCTCACAAAGTTAAAGTACCTCGACGCATCAAACTCGTAATCGAAATCAACTTCCAGGCTAAGGATATTCACTTCCGCCGCCGGCAGCTCCATCCTCTCAGCGCGAGAAAGAATCAGAGCATGAAACTAACATCAAATACCCACCGAAAAGGCCGTTGTCTGATCCAGTAATCCCCCTATTCAAAGTGACGCTCAAAAGTGCCCTAAAATCGACATTACCCGGCGAAGAAGGAGACGAACGATGGCTGCCCGAAGAATGGAAAGCGCTGGAAATTTGAATGCGGTGTTGGAACCGCTCAAACCTAAATGGCATATAAGCCCCTCGATGCAAGCCATGATCCTGGGTATTTTCGTCATTATTTAGAATGCGGGGTCCTTAATGAGAATATTATGTGATTCGACTTTTGAATTGTGTAACATGGCAAATATGTTCCATTTCCTTTTCCTTGCGGGTCGGATAGTTTTGTAATTACATAATGTTTGAACTCCTTTTGTAATTTGTTTTAACTTGGCAACCCTATGGACGTATTCTGCTCGTTCGTTAAATAAACGAGCCGAGCATGAATAATTTTTTAAGGTCAACTTATAAATGAGCCGAACACAAATAGCTCCTTGTTCGCTCGTGTTTAGCTCGTTTTAAATCAAAATTTAAAAAAAAAAAACCGTATAGTGATATATGTATAATAATAAATTATAACTATTATTTATATAAAATATAATATGTATTTTATATTTATTTTTAAATCATGATAGCTTGTCTGGTAATGTGATTTTGTGTCTTTTTTTTTTCATAGATTTGGTTCAGGTTCGTATCTAATATTCTACATCTTTTTTTTTTCAATTAATTTTAACGAGTCAATTTTGAGTCAAGCACAAACAAGAATATTTAAATCAGGCCGAACACGAAAGCAATGTTCACGAGCCGATTTCAAACACGAGCAATTTCGAACGAGCGAACATGAGCCTAGCCTGAGCGCTCAAGCTCGGCTCGTTTACAGCTCTAGTGAAGAATAAGTAGAAGGGCGAAGCCAGTGAGTTTCGAATACAGAGTTTTCGATAATATTTCATTGAGAAAACGGTGAATTTTGTATTGTGTTGCGATGCACGCCAACACGGGCAAAAATTTTATTTAGCGAAGCAGTATCTTACGAACGTCTCAACAAGTTGTTTCGCAAGAACATAATTTTTTTTTTTTTTTTTTCATTTTAGATCGTAGGTGACTTCTTCTTTCTGCCAACGTGACTATCATAGGAGTTTTGTCATCGACGAAGCTCCTTCAAATATATTTTAATCGAGTTAAAAAATAAATTTTATGACTTATCATATCACCAAAAACAATCCATTTTACCAAGTTTGCTTTCAACCAAAAAAATTTCGGCGATATTTAAAGTCACTCGAACTCCATATTCAGTCGATCTATATTTGAACTAAACTTCTCCCAATAACATTGAAGATATTAATCATTAAGTGAGATTTAATGTGAATCAATATAAATTGTGTGAAAACTTAAAAATTACAAATCTACCCTAAACCATTAATATATTATTAATGGGTTGTATTTTTAAAAAAAATTAGTTGACTACAAAGCTACAAAAATTTATAATCAATTAAAAGTATTAATTTAGAAAATAGAATGAAAATTATTAAATTAGATTCAAATGATGTTTTAATATAAATAATAATTTTAGATATTGCCCCAACCCTTAGCATCTTATGGATACGTGATTAGGGTTGTCAAAACAATTCTTTGTTCGCGAATAGCTCATGTTCGACTCGCTAAGCAAACAATCAGAACATGAACACACTTTTTGTGTTCAAAATATAAATGAGTCGAACACAAACAATGATATTTCTTAATTAGCTGAACACGAGCTGAGCTTGGGCTCGTTTACACCCCTACATATGCCCCCCATGCCAAGAACCTTCTCTGTCTAATTAAGTTCAATGCACCCGCTTGATTAGGAGAAAATATTATGTGCGTCGTCTGTGCAAGCGACATGGTGCCAACGCTGTCGTCCGAAAGTCTGGAGCTCTAGACATAATGCTTTTTTGTGCTATACTCTTGAAGGAATTTTCATGTCGAGCATATTCCTAGTTAAAACCTAAATAATAATAATAATAATAATAATAATTTAGAACATTTTGTTCCACATCCTTATCTCTTCAATGGGGATATTATACTAATTAAATGGATTAGCTGAGTGAATAATATATATATATTGAAAAGTGGTATTTTTAAAAAATTGAATTGACTACAAGGCTATACAGATTTATAATTAATTAAAATAATTAATTAAGAAAATAGTATGAAAGATTTGAATGATGTTTTAATATAAATAATAATTTTAAAATCCTGCTCCAACCATTAACATCTTATTCCTACGTGATTAGGGTTGCCAAAACAACTCTTTGTTCGTGAACAGCTCGTGTTCAGCTCCTTAAGCAAACGAGCCGAACAAGAACACACATTTTCAGCTCGAAACATAAACGAGCCGAACACGAGCGATCTCGTTTACACCCCTAATACATACATACATATTATGAACAAAGAAATAATTTTGACCATTCAAAATGAATTGTACAACCAAAAGCTCTTAAACCAGGTTTAGCTTAACTTATGTACAAATTGGGTTGTAAACAGGTTTAGAAAACTAAACTTTACTTGTTACATTTACAACACCAAAATCTCTCTCTAACACATAAAAAATATCAATATTTTAAATTACATAATGTGAAATACAGCAAAAATAAATGTTCTAAACAAACCTAAAAAAAAAATAAATAAAAAAATAATAAGAAAACCACAAATACAAAGTTGTAAACACATTGTCTAAATGGTGAAAATTCTTCTTACAGAGATTCAATGCATAAATGGTGAACAAATCTATAAACATAATATAGAATTAGGCAATTTACATGCATATTGCTTGATTCATATGTATTTACATATCTAAACACCTAAACTTCACTTGCGGGGTATAAATGTAAAGAGTAAAGTTTATGTGTTAGATATGTAGATGCTTAGGAATTGGGTGGTATGCATGCAATGTGATGTTAGGATCTCATGATGCTCTTAAATGGAGGGAATTAGTTGAGCTCATCCATTACCTGGAGAGTGTGGAGAGTCCTCTTGGAATAAATGGTGATGGCAATGGTGGCAGTCAGGGCGGCACAGAAGCCGACCGAATCATAGATGATCTGTTGCAAGGACAGAAAATCTCCACCGTCGGATGCAACTGCGAAGCTCCGCAGCAACCTTCCACTGCAGATTCAGACATGGATTAGCTAAATTCATTAATTTGCAGACATTATTCATCTGAAGCTGAATTTAATCAGTGGAGAATGAGTCAATGTTGTTGCGTGCATATATTAGTTTGGTTAAAGTTGTTGCCTACATGCAAGCAGAGCAAAGCGAGGGTCCTCTGAAGAGGATTGGACGGTGAATGTGATAAGGATTGTGAGCAGTGAATGTTGGAGTATGGAGCCCGCAGCACCCTAAGGGGTGCTTCTGCGCTGCTCAAAGTGGCGCTCCTGCGCTTGAGCATGGCGACGCCTCAAACAGCTATAAGTTAGCTCCATTCCGGGCTTTCTTGCCGAGCGATCGAAATAATTATGCCGATGACGACGTGACTATGATACGGTTCGATCACAAAAATGGCATGTTTTTTTAGAAAAATTAGAACAAATAAAATATTTCTTTAGTAAATTAAATAACTCAACAAGAAAACAAAGATAAACACCTACAATTTGAGCGATAGGCAGTCTCTCCCAATTCCTACAATTCAAGAGGTAGTAAATCTCTCCCAAAGCCTAGAACTAAAGACTCACAACTCAATCTCATGCAAAAAAACTAACCCTAGACAAAACAAGCTTATTTATACCCAATAATAATAATAATAATAAAAGGCTAAATTGCCCTTAGGCATACAAAAGAAAAATTTGCCCTTAGGCTAGGCACTCTCGTAAAAGACTACGCCGGAGTTGGTTTCTCTCCTTTTTAGTTGTTAAGTCTTGATTCAAGCGGCAAAGGTAAAACTCTCCCGTGCGGTGTTTCTTAACAAGGACTTTTCAAGAAGGTGGATTGTCGAGAGAGTAATTTCAAAGCAAAGGCTTTCTCTTGTGACATCGAGATGAAGATTTAGAACAAAGTTCTGTAAGTTTTTGTGCTTGTAAAGAATTGATCTGAGTGTATCTCCGTATAATTCTGATTTTTATAGTGGAAATCATTTGTGGTGTAGCTCCGTGGTTTTTTTCTCATTCTCTGGTTTTTCCACGTAAATCTTGGTGCGCTTTTTTGGGATTGTTTTGTTGTGCTTATGTTCAAAATTTTATTCCAAATTTCCCGATGTGGTGTGATCTTATTCCATGGTATGATTTTGATTTCTAATTGATCGAAGCCCAATGTTTAATTTCCATCCCAACAATGAAACGAGCCAATCATACGAGAATGTGAGTAGGATCACCAGAGGAAACACGAGATAGCTAGCACAATCAAGTGTGGCCGTCAAGCCTAGAGAAAAGCAAGTGTACAGTGGTAACTCCCAAAAATGGATAAAAAAGAATATCTTCTTTTAAGTGAATCCAAGATTCAGGGTGAGGGATATTAACGTATAGTCTTTCCTTCTATTTTATGCATTTTCCATTAGATCAACCATTCCATTTCCCAAAAGACACGCATTTTATCCAACTTGACGACCATATATTGAACAATTTATCATGAAAACAAAAACAATGCTATCAATATTCATGACCAAATCTATTTTTTGCTCAAGCAAAATAAATCTGAACCACCTAAGCAAGATCAAAAGGAGGAAATTTGGAGCAAACGCCAGCAATTTAGTCGAGTGTCGTTGCCTTTAATCTATACAGTAGAGGTTCAAGATTCAAATTCTTCCACCAAAAAAAACAAAAGATTAAAATGTTAAAATTTGGTTTTAGAAAAAAAGAAGGCAGAATATAACAGCTGAAAAAAATAACCAATTCAACATAAGGTTTATGAAGATCATTCAAACCTGTAAATTGTTATAAAAATCTCTGGCACTATCCCTACCAGAGATCCACATATGTAGGGACAATAGCTCACATTTGTTGCCACAGATGCATAGTTGAAAATAATATATGGAAATGGAGAGATCCTTATCAATGCAACAGCATGAAATTGATGAAGCCAATTTCCTGCACCAGCTAATCTGAAGATTGTTGATTCCTTTGGCCATCTCTTCAGCAATTTCTGTATTTATGAAAAAAATAGTAATTAATGCGCAAGAAAAAAACGTAAGAGAATCAGAGCCTCAAACATAACCGAAAGAAAAAGGAATTGGAAAGCAAAGAACAAACATGTATTCTGCTCCGAAAAGAAGAACCAATGAAATATGGAATTGACATGCCAATAATTGCGCCTGACATTATCAGTAGAGATCCATAACCATAGCCAAATGTCATTCCAGCAATCCACATAGAAGGTGAAGAAGGTAGCAATATAACAGGAAATAATGCAATTGAAGCAAAAAGTAAGAACCCAAGAATTGGAGTACTAAATGTTGTTGATTCCCAATTCAGAATAGGAACAAACACCTGCAAATATCCACAAGAGAATATTGCATGAGAAGAAAAAACAAAAAACCTTCAGCAAAATATTTTATTCATTAACACTGCATCAGTAAAACCACCACCCCTATGGCACAATATGCAACACAATACAAAATGACAAGTAAAAAAATTTTAAGCAAAATCTAAATGGCAACGAATCTTTGTAATAGCATTGTAATAAAAAATTAAAATTAAAAACAAGTATGGTTAAATATGTTTGAATGCACTTTTCTACTTGGGAACTTTTAACTGGTCTTTCAGGCTAAGCTTCAAGCTCCAAACTTCTAAAATCTAAGCAATTAGTGAGATAGATTTTATAAGAAAAGCATTGTCCTTTTTCTTGTGCAGCACAAAAAAAAGCATTTAAAAAAACAGGAATTTCATGAGGATGATTGAAAGTTTAAAGCAAAACACTTCTCTCAAATAGAAGCAATTTATTAGTCATTTTACAAAAAATGTCTGCAAAAGTTTATAAGAAAATACTCATAAGACCACAAATGAACCGAGCGTTTGATAAGCTACTCATAGCTCAGCTTGAGAAGAGCCCATTCGCATTCTTTTGATTAACTAATTGAACAAGTTTAAAAATTTTTATAAATACTCAATTGTTAATTAAATAAACTTGACCAAATTTTGATTCATTTCCATTTGTGTGCAATATCATTTATAGCTCGTGAACAAGCACGTTAAGAAACTTGATGAAATGTTTCATTTAAAATTTATGAATAAGCACGCAAATAAGCTCGATTTAATGCTTATGAATTCGATCAATTAAATTTTAATTTAAAGCTTGTGAGCAAACTTAATTAAAGCTCAATTTAAAATTCATTTATATTAAATTAAATGAAAATTTTAATTCATATTACATAAAATAAGATAAAAATTGATTTGATCAGCTGTTTATTTAATTTCCGCAGTTATATGCTTAGTTTGGTTATTTATTTAGTAGATCGTTTATTTTTGTAAGTTAAACAAGTAACTCTATGATAGAAATAAGTAGCTCAATCATACTACTCATTTGTTTGTTTTATAAGACTCATTTGATTAGAAAATAAGTGCAAATTTTAATTTACTCGATAAAGATTATTTAAATTGAAATTAAGTGGCTCGATAGCACTACCCGTTAACATGTCTGATAAACCAACTAGTTAATCTGCTCAATAATGACTCGATCATCATCATATGAAATGAACATAAACTAAACTCAAACAATCAAAATGACAAATGAACTAACTTCATCATAAACACAAAAGCTTAAATAGTTCGAGCTCGAATTTTATAAATAAGCTCAAGCTTGAACAAGGCCTAGCTAATTTCGGTTGCTTCGTTTGCATCCGCATCCCTACTTCCATTGCAGTAGCTTCTTCAAGTTTAAATAAATAAAAATAATAATCATATAAAGATAAAGGGGACAGACCTTTCGTATGAGCACCGGGCCAAGAAAGAACACAATAGCTGCGGTAACCGTTCCCAGAAAAACACACAAGAAAACCACCTTCGTCCACCACAGAAATTTCTCCCATTGTGTTGCACTTAATTGAGCTTCCAACCCTACTACTACATCATCAGACCGCGCCAATCTCACATAATCCCCATTAGCATCCCCCGTTCCCCTCCTCGAATGGGCAATAATGATATCAACGATGGCCTCCGACGGAAAATTCATCAATTCCGCACAAGCTCAACGACCTCAGAAATGCAAACTTCAAACAAGCGTAGTAACGGATATTAATTGTTCGGGTAGACAATCAGGCCTCGATCCCCGATAAGATTGAAGTAGAAGAGAAACCAAATAACGTCATTTTTAAATTTCCCCTTCGCTTCACGCCAACGTCGCGGAGCCCTAAAGACTCCTCCGGAGAAACGAAACCGTGTATCTCAAAGTAGAGCAATAAAAAATACCATGAAGGGGTTGGAGGGAAGCTGAGCCTTGCTTCAGAAAAGCACCGTGATTGCTCACGATCAGCTGCAAGTCTCCGGGATCTTATCGGCCATGGAGTTTCGCAATAAGAAAGCGATTGAGAAAGAGACGTGGAAGAAGACGCCAAGAGATGCATCGAGGAGATCGGTTGGGGACGAATGGAGGTTTCTTCATCGACGGCCGTGCTCCGTCTAAACCAGTATTTAAAATTGCAGCTGGTTGCTTCTCTCTCTAAAGCAAACAGTAATAGGCCCGGTTGCCCGCATCTTTATGTATATTTATATAGAGGATGACGAGAGGAGCTGTCTAGAAAGGATAAAATTATAAACATTTTTGAAGAGTGGTATTATATTCTAATTAAATTATGAAAATGTATTTGAAAGAAGTTCTAGATTCAAATGGATGGATAGATAAAAAAATGATTATTTAATTATAGGCTTTTCTTAATAGATTGTAATATTTAATCTTTATTTGTTCGTGAATTGCATCCAAGGAATAGAATGTAAGACAGGAGAGAGAGAAGTGGAAAGAGGAATGCACTGTAATGAGTAGTAGTATGAATTCTTGATTAGTTATTTCTCATGAAATGATTTCCCTATTTATTGAGTATGAGGGTACAATATATGAAATTACATGTATGCCCCTGCTTTAATTGCAGGACATGTACAGACCTTCGGTTTGAGCACCCCTATGACTTGGTTGTTGTAATCGGTTATTTCTGGTTCGACAAGTCCTATTTGTTTGACTGTGTTGACTTGGCTTTGTCGGTCAACCTTTGTTGGTCTTAGGGTCGGCAAGACTTGTCGATCAGCTTGGCTTTGTTGGTCTTAGGGTCGACAAGACTTGTCGATCAGCTTGGCTTTGTTGGTCGGTTATGCTAGTTTGATTGTTGACTATTGATCCTCAGTTAAGGAAGTCTTATCGGCAGAGCAAGATTAGGCTATCGAGCAAAGGATGAATCATTGTAATCTGATGGGTAGCTTACGATGTGATGAGAAGATCTTTCAGGATGCTTCGTGTGATTATGTTATGGCCAGTTCTCAGCCTCTGGTGAGGAATCTCAAATGAGGCTTATAATATCAGTTCTTCAAGCCTGAAAATGCCATGATGCAATTGTTTATTTGGAGGTTAAAGAAGCATTGGAATTTAAATCTAGCATTGATGACATCTCTTGGTGTACTCCATATAATCAATGGTCATCGAAGGCCAATAATAGTCAGAATTCTTAATTTTTTTTTTTTTATTTTTGGATTTGATTGATGAGAGCCACATCTACCCTCATATACATCGCCTGTGAATTTTTTGTTTCAACTTTGGCTTCGTTTGAGAGCCAGGTGGAGCTTAGTTCCGTCGCAAAGAACGGAGACAGAACGCTCTTGTTTGTTTGGTACGTCGCGTTAGAGTAAGTTGCAACAAACTCAATGGCATTTCTTCACCATTTAAGAACATCGGATCTCCCTAATTTCTTGCCTGCCGCCCGGCGTTCCACTGTTGATAACATTTAAATTGTCCAAAATAATCTTTATCAATTACAATATGGTCGAGCTTCAACGTCCGTTACGCCGATTGCGATGACCGGTTGTCGGAGGCCCATTTTTGGAGGAGGAACTAGCCCATTCTCTATTGTCGGTAGTGTTTAAATCGGTGGTCGTCAGCGATGTCGAAGTCAGTGGTGGGAAAGCGGAGTAGTAGGAGAGGAGGGAAAGGATAAGCCAAAGTTGGAGGGAGATCAGGAAAGAACAAAATGCTTCTGCTAGAAGGCTATAATAGTCTTTTTAATAGAGTTAACGAGAGAAATTTCTATCCAAAGTATGGCATGAGTTTATCACCTTAACTTTATGACAGAACTTTGTAGCCTATAGCATTTAAAATGGTTTTCTAGACATTGTCAACCATATCTGGTTCAATGAGCATCAGTACAATATATCATCTATGATGGCGAATGATATAACTCTTTTCTAGATTTGAGCTGCTAGAAAGCAATCCTTAAAAGGTCTCCCTTCTGTCAAAAAATATAATGTTGACTTATCGCCAATCATCATCAGATTCATCGAAAGCCACATGTACTATACTTTGTTCACCTAAGGGATCAACCTTAGGAGATTCAAAACATGTCGGGGATAGAACCCTTCTATCTCATCTTAGATAACAACTGTCATGTAGCCTCCATTACTATTAGATAGCTCCTTAGCTAGCATGGAATAACCTAACTTTGTTATCAAGATAGCGGGAAATCATAACTAGTGTCACATCAGAGATATCCTCAAGCAAAGTCATGATGCTTTTATAATAAAATGAAAGATTAGGTTTGAGGACTTTGTAAGTTCTTATGACCTAGTGAATCATAATTCGAGAATCTACATACACCTTGATTCTCCTTATATTTATCACGATGAAAACTTCTAATCTCAAAATCAGGGCTTCGTATTCAGCCTACTTATTAGTACATGCTTAGAAGATAACATACTAAATACTCCTTTTGGGTCCTTGGGACCAATAATCACAAATAATTAAGAGTTTGATGTAACTTTCATCTTGGATTGACTAATCTAATTATTGCATTTTTTGTACTCGCATATACTCCTTTTGGGTCCTTGGGACCAATAATCACAATTAATTAAGAGTTTGATGTAACTTCATTTTGGATGGACTAATCTAATTATTGCATTTTTGTCCTCGCACGTAAAAATCAGTTCTTTACCATAAATCTTTTATTTTGTCTCTTCAATTGGCCCCATTTATACTTTTATTTACTTATTTTAAACAATTTGCAGGCTTTGGCTCTCAATTCTCACAATAAACTAAACAAACAATTCTGTGGTTTGCTGCCCAGGGGTGTAAATGAACCAAACACGAACTAACAGAGTTTGTGTTTGTGTTCGGTTCGTTTGAAATTTAGTTTGTTTGAAATGAGCTCGTGTTTGAAATTGTTCGTGAAGTAATATTTTATTATTATTAATTTATTATATATTATAATTTATAAAATTTAATTTTTTTAAATTTATATATATATATATATATATAATTATTTTAAATTATTTTATATTTTGAATGATAACGATTCGAACACAAATGAACACATCACTGTTTGTGTTTGGTTCGTTTGACTAACCGAACGAAGAAAATTTGTTCACGTTTGTCCCGTTTACTTATCGGATAAATCGAATACGAACTCATTGACGAACCGAATACAAACTGTTCGCGAACAACAATCTTTTTTGACAGCCCTATTGCTGCCTGAGATTTTCAATTGAAAAAAAAAAAGGAAGATTTGCGTACATACCACTAAATTTTTATTTATTTACATATCTAACATTTATGCTAATTTTTACATATATATATCCCCTAAACTAAACATGAAAATGTATATTTTACTTTTAAAAATAAAAATTGTGGCATTTTTTATGCAATAAAAAAATTTTGGGCCATGCAAATATTAAGGAATTTGGTGGTTATGTATGTAAATGCCCCTAAAAGATGTCCGGCAAGAGCAGCCCTTTGACATTCTTAACCTTATTTCTAAGCACTGCTATACATACCCCACAGTTCTGATGCATATTGCACTTTTAATTTTAAATAGCTACAAATTTTGAATGTCATAAATATAGAAATTAAAGTTTAGGTGTTAGATATATAAATACATACAAATTATGTTGTATATATTTACGTACATACAGCAAAATTCTTATGTATTTACAAATCTAATACCAACAATTTAATTTTCAGTTATACCACTTTATTCATGCAGTAAAATGCATATTTCACTTGAAAACTAGTAACACTCACATTTTTTTGAGTGATGTAAGAAACTTGACCGTTATGCACATAAAAATCAAAGTTTAGATTTTAGATGCATAAATAAAAAAGGGCTGTTACATACATAATAGCACATTAAACGTTGTTATTTCTAAATCTAGCGCCGCCATACATTTTTCAAATTCTCGCTCTAATATCTAAATTCGTGAATCATGTCAGAAACCGAACTCATATTTTTCATTTTTATGAAATTCTCAATGGCTTGATCGTGACGCGCATAAATACATCAATTCAGTAGTTCAAAAATATCACTCAGAATCTAGATGTTAGATTTTATAAATAACAATATTTCGGATGATATTAATGTAATTATGCCTACAAATAAATTATATGTTATGTATGTAAATGCCCCATAACAATACTAGATGCAAAGGAAACATTGCTATGAGCAATTGGAAACTACAATTCCAAAATAGTCATATAAATAAATACTCACCATCATCATCATCATCATCATCATCACATCATCATCATAACTAATATCGACCCACCAAAACAAATTCATCATCATCAAGAACCTTCACCTCTCCATCCCCAACAAAATGCTCCCTTCCAATCTCCTCCACCAACCTCACAAACTCAATTCTCTTCTCAACAGGAAGAGGAACATATGGGAGTCTAAACACAGGCCGGATCACCCCGAGCTGCGCCAGTGCGGTATTAAGACCAATGGGATTCGGCTCACCGAAAAGCCACTTAACCAGCGGCATCACCTTCGAATTCAGTGACGTGTTCTTCCCTCCGAACATCAGCTCGTGCATCAGACCCGGAACGAGATTGCTCGTCACCGATATGACTCCGACGGCACCATAAGACCACCTAGCATCATGACACTCATCATCATTGCCGCTCCAGATCGCCATTCCTCCGCCCACATATTCCTTTATTCGATCATTTCCGACGCATTCCTTGACGCCGGCCATGTTTGGATTCGCCGAAATTTTACCGACGACGGTCGGAGGAATGTCTTGTCCGGTTCTCGAAGGTACATTATAGATGATGGTCGGTCCCATGGAAAGAACGGCTTCGAAATGGGAGACAATACCTTTGAGAGATGTCTTGCCGTAATAAGGATTAATGTGAAGGGCGGCGTGCATGCCGACGGCGAAACCTTGTTCGGTGGCGTGGATCGCCTCCCTCGTCGAGTTGCTTCCAGTGTTCCCTATTACTTTGATGGAAGCGCCGAAACAGTTGACGGTATGTCCAATGAGCATGATGTGTTCGTCCCAGCTCATAAGGTGGCCTTCCCCTGTCGTGCCTCCCACGACTACGCCTTCAGCACCATTCATAATCTGTGTATGCATTAAGGCGTCGAAGGCTTCGAGGTCGAATCTGCCGTCTGGTAAGTATGGGGTCTTGATGGCTGTGATTAATCTTAGACCCTTTATGCCATCCACAGAGGTCCTGTATAGTGGCACATAGCATACAGAAACTCGAGAAGTTCAAAAACAAACTTTTAACAAAAGAAGAAATAGAAAACCAGAAATTTAATTAGTATCAAAAAAGTGCTTGAAATTCCTTGAAGAATTTTAATTTAGGGGCATTTTATGCATGCCACGCCATTCTTATGTATTTACATATCTTAACAGGTAAACATTCATATTTAGTTGCATAGCATTCAAATCTTTAACATCAGCTAAAAGTACCACCATTATTATCTTTTTAAAAGTGAACTATACATTTTCATGCATAGGTTTATGACACCTATGTAAATACATAAGAATTGTGCGGTATGCATGTAATTTCGCTTTAAATTAATAGTGGAAGAACAGACACATGGTCCCAATTGAGTTTTGAACTATACATTTTCATGCATAGGTTTATGACACCAAGAAGTTATAAGTGTAAATATTAAAGTTTGTGTGTTGGATATGTAAATACATAAGAATTGCGCGGTATGTATGTAATTTCGCTTTAAATTAATAGTGGAAGAATAGACACATGGTCCCAATTGAGTTAAAAAAAGGAAATTAGCAGTATGTGAAAGAAAATAAGATACACATATCATAAAAATGATAATAATTCTTGAAAATGTCCAACAATACCTGTTTTTAACTTCAAGGCTGCGCATTGGAAGATGAAAATCTGAAACAACAGCTGCCTCCGGAGATTTCCAGACTCCATTCCTGCATGTAAGCATAGATTTGAAAAAATAAAGTCATAGAATGCACGATATAAAAAAGAAGGAAGGGTTAATATATATACAACTTAAACCTTGTGTATTTACATGTCTAACTAGTAAAGTCTCCAAATAGTTCCCTGGCTATTCACATGGCGCCATTTTAGTACCACAGTCTTTCAAAGTGTCAAATTAGTCATAATACTCTTTTTATGAGTTGAAATAGTCCAAACGAGGACTATTTTATCCCTAAATAGAAGAGTCTCATAACTAAATTGACACTTTTATAGAATTTGGGACTAAAATGGACCCCTACCAAAAGGCAAGGGATCGTTTTGATACATTCTCCATGACTAACAAACTTAAAACTTCAATTTTTACCAACATACCAACTTATCAATGCATGAAAATGTGTATTTCATTTTATTTTAAGTTAAAATGGTGGTATGAAACATTTAGGTGCTATAAATGTAAAAAATTAAAGTTTAGGCGTTAAATATGTAAATATATAGCAATTGGGTGGTATGTATGTAAATTCACCTAAAAAAGTGCCTATCAAGCCTATGTCATCAGATAAATCGAGAGGCGTTTGTGTGCCATCTTTCCTTGTCTGATAGCATGTTTAATTCCATAAAATATTTAAATACGATATTTTATTTCACCTGCTCATAAAATATATCATTCAAATAACTTCAACTGATACATCTTTCTAAATACAATATTTTATTAATAAGATTCAGCCTGAGATAAAACAGGTTGGGCTATAGCTGACAATAGCATTGCTGGTCAACATAACTTACTAACAAAGCTCCAAGAGCCTGTAAGAGTCTCCTAGATCATAACACTTCCTTTGACGTCATTTAGTTCAACAAATCAATAGTAGTCAACAAGCAAATGTTACTTAATAGTTGATTCTCCAATGGTATAATCAATCTACACAACATTATACCCGCCATGTTGGTGCTGTTGTTGATTTCATATTAATTTCCTCAAAATAATGGACATTTTCAGGATAATTATGTTTTGGGATTTGATCAAAATTTGTTGCTAAATTTAATGTAAATTTAGAGAAAATAGAGAAGGGATAGACGTTAACTTATTTAAATTGAACCACACAAATCTTAATGTTCTCGTGTTAAGTTCCCCAATGCTTGATCTCAAATATAATTACTTTGCTATGGATTTGAAGAATCGAGAAACAAGATGTGCAGAGTCCAGCAATGACTTGTCAATGAAGTCAAGGAGCGTGCCCAGATGCATGAAAGATAAATGAAAAAGGTCTCACTCAGATAATTCAATTGCATGTTTAGCATGTGAGGGCTTCTTAGACATGATGAAAAAATTTGCTAGAAATTTGTACATAAACTTGTCAAAAATGGATATTTTATTTACTTTGCATTCAGAAAAGCGTGCTCATCAAGACATATATCTAGATAAACTCTAATTCCATTATTTGTGATTTGAGAAATATTTACATGATTGTTGATGATGAAGAATAAATTTCGTTACTATTGTGCTCTTTATCTTCCTCCTATCAGTGCTTTCGTGGGATCATTTACAATGGTAAATATATCACAAAATTAATTTGTGAAAATTTTACTTCTTTCTAAATATGTAAATGCTAAGCTTGAGGGCATATGGCATGAAAAATCAGCTAAAGACTTATTGATTAGGGGAGATTTTCTGAGAAAGGTGATACGATCCAGGCCAACAGTGATGAAATTGCAATAGATAGGTGGAAAAAGTCAAACGAGGGTTGCTCTTACAAAAATAACAAACAAGATAGAATGATGAACTACAGTTTGAGAGGTAGATTGTCTCTCCGACAACCCTACAAGTCGCTAGGAATGCCACAAGGAAAGAAAGAAAGCTGCAGTCCCCCCCCCAAAAAAAAATCCCCCTTAATTTCTTGCCCCGCCCAATAAAGCGTGACGAGGTTGTCCCGCTTAAACCGGCTGCCCGCTGCTTTAGCTTGGGCTTGTCGGTCCAGACCGGTCCTCCCTAGACCAGTTCTACTGAGGAGGCCTAGCTCGTATCAACACTCCCTTCCCAAAGAAGCACCTTATCCTCAAGGTGGAAAGATAGGATCTATTTTTGGATTACTTTGGAAGGTTCCCACGTAGCTTCATAGTCTGTAGATATTTTCATCTGATCAGTGCATCCTTTGCTCCAACCAACCCCGACGCACTCCTTCAACCTCTACAGGTTCCAGAACCACCTCCATGTCCTCCATTAGCATCGGTTGTAGTGAAAACGAGGGGTATGATCTCCAATAGGACGCTTCAGTTGAGAAAAATGAAAAACAAGATGTATTGTTGATTATGGTGGTAGCCTCAAACTGTAGGCCACTGCCCCAATGCATTTCATCATCTCATAAGGTCCAAAAATATAGCAAATAAAGTTTCTCGTTCTTCCTCATCAATGTCTTCTACCCACAAGGCCTCGGCTTTAAATGAACCTTGTCCCCGGGCTCGAATTGTATCTCCCTCCTATGCCCATCCGCCTTCCTCTTCATGATATATTGAGATCTCTCTTAATTTTTGCCAATGCTCTGTCCCTCTCCTTCAAGTACTAGTCAACAATTGATATCGGTGTGGCGCTATGCCCGTAGTGTATCAGGTGAGGTGGATCCTGCCCATACAAAATCTTGAGGGGTGGTATGTGTCACAGTATGGTATGAGGTATTATACCAATATTTTGCCCATGCAATCCACCTCGCCCCCAGTTTTGGAGTATCTAATAAAAAGCAACACAGATGTCTCCACGCTCCTATTGACCACCTGTGTCTGGTCATCTGTCCGAGGATAATATGCGGCGTTCCTCATAAGGATTGTTCCCTGTAACCTGAACAACTCCTTACAAAAGTGGCTGAGGAACACCCTATTTATATCTAATGTAATCAAGTATGGAATTTCGTGCAAGCGAACCACTTTCTGTATGAATATTGTCGCCACTGAGATCATCGTATAGGGGTGGCGTAATGGAATGAAATGTGCGTACTTGCTCAGGCGATCCACGACCACCAAAATCATCGTTAACCCCACTGATCGGGGCAACCCCTCTATAAATCCATAGTCATTTCCTCCCAAACCTTCTTCGGTAATGCTAGGGATTGTAGCAACCCTCCTGGCACCGTGGTCTGGTAGTTATGTCGTAGGTACACATCGCACAACGCCGCCATGTCTTCCATATATCTGTGCATCCCCATCCAGTAAAGCTCTATCGATAACGACAGTAGGTCTTTCGTACCCCGGAATATTCCCCTACTGCACCGTCGTGAAACTCCTGCAATAATCTCGAAATGTACTTCGATGTCCTTGGTAACACGAACAGCACACGATAGTTTAATTCCCCACCCCCCCTAATTCGAATCATGGGTGACTGTTTGGATCTTGTAGCAACTCTGCTCGCATTTTCCTCAACCCTTCATCTTGCTTGATCTTCCGTCTCATTGCTACACAATCGAAGACCAAGGATACTGAAAAGGCTGCCAACTGAGTCTCTTCCCTCTTTCTCGACAGGGCATCTAAGTCTTTATTCTCCAACCCTGATCGGCACTAAATCTCGAAATCATATCCCAACAACTTGGATAGTCGCCTCTGATGCACATCAATCACCATCTTCTGCTCCAACAGGTACTTCAATCCTTTGATCTGTTCTGACAAGAAAGTGTCATCCCAATAGGTAGAGTCGCCACTTTTAAATGGCCAAGACAATAGGCATTAACTCCTGCTAGTAAACTTACTTGAGCCCCGCCCTAGCGGTGAGCACCTGGCTAAAGTGAACAATCAGTCGTTATTCTTGCATGAGTACTGCTCTCAATCCGTACCCTGATGCATCTATCTCTAACACAAATGCTCCATTAATATCTGAAAGTACTAATGCTAGAACACTTATCATGGCCCTCTTCAAATGCTCGAAGGCCTGTGTTGCGGCTTCCCCCCACTTGAAATTGTCTTTCTTCAGTTAATCTGTCGGTGGTCATGCTATTATGTCATATCCCTTCACAGATTTTAGGTAGCATCCGGTAAGACCTAGGAATCCCCTCAACTCCTTCAAGCTCCTGAGGCCAGTACACCATAGCCTTAATCTTGGATGGGTCTACTGCTACTCCTGCCCTAGTCACCACGTGCTCAAGGTACTCTACCAGTAGTTGTGCAAAGGAACATTTCTTCAAATTGGCGTACAACTGTGCTCTCTCAACTTCTCAAATATTGTCCTCATGTGCTCCACATGTTCTATCTTTGTACGACTATAGATCAGAATGTCATCAAAGAAAGCCAAAACAAATTTCTAAGGTAAGGCTGCAAAACCCTATTCATTAGGGACTGAAATGTGATCGGCACATTAGTGAGGCCAAACAGCATCACCAAGAACTCATAATGCTCTTCACGTGTCCTGAACACCGTCGTGCACATCTACTAGTCTCATCTTGATATGGAGATATTTCGGTTGAAGACTGATTTTTGAGAAGATGACTGCCCCATAAAGCTCATCTAGCAACTCATCAATCACATGAATAGGAACTGTATCCAGCATCATTTCCTTATTCCAGGCCCGATAGCACATGCAGAACCTCCAGCTACCGTCTTTTTTCTTCACCAACAGAATTGGACTGAAGAAGGGGCTCATAATAGATTTGATAACCCCAACCTCGAGCATCTCTCAAATCAACTCATCTATCTCATCCTTCTGAATCTGAGTGTACTCGTATGGTCTAACACTGATATCAGGGGCACCCTCCTTTAATGTATTTGCATGCTCATGCTCCCTTGGGGGTAATAACTCGCTTAGAAGCTGAAAGACATCCGTAGACAGCTATAGAAGTTGTTGGACCCCTTCGAAAAACTCTGCCAACTCTGGATCTTGGATCTCTTCAATGCTCTGCAATTCCACCAAATAGCCTAGCCCTGCTCCTCTATCAACTTGACCATGATTTTGAGCGACACCATGATTTTGCATAAACTGACATCTCCTCTCAGCATTACATTCCTACCCTCCACCTGA